TGTGGGATAATGGGGTAATTTTGTGTTTAATTACCAGGGAACTGCCGCACTACTTTTCACAATGGTCATACCATTTTACATTCCACAAGAGTGTGGTTCCAATTTCTCCATCTCCTCACCAACACCTGCTATTTTCTGTGCCCTTATTCTTTTGACACACATTTTGTACAGTACCTACCTGGTGCAAGGCCTGTGCTCGGGGAAGGGGATGCAGAGGGATTGAGACTCAGGATGCTCTGGCGGGGTCAGGGGGCACAGACAGGAAACAGTGGCCACTGGTGATTAGTCGAGTGAAGGGTGGGTCATGGGGGCCCTATCCGTGCAGGACGCAGGGCAGGCTCCAGAGGAGGCAAGGATTATGCTGTGGTCCCCGGTCCCCGCCTTTGCTCCCTTCCCAGCACCCAGGTACCTGGGAGGGGTGGTGGTCAAGGTGCCGAGTATTGCCATCTGAAAAGTTCCATCCTTGCCTGAAAGCCACCCATTAGAGCCTGTTTTACTGGGTTGCATTCTCATCTCCAGACCACATGCCAGCAGCCTAAACCAGATGAGGAAACTGAAGCTCAGAGGGGGAATGATTTGCCAAAGGTCACTCTAGAAGCCCAGAGCCCTGGCCTCCAGAACCCAGCCTCGGGTCCTTTTAGCTCTGATTGGGTGAGGCCTGGGACAGCATGAGACTGTGGGGAGGGAAGGGGGGGGGTGGCAGGAGGCTGAAAGAGCGGGTAGACTCGGGTAGGAGGAAGCCAAGCCTCAAAGATTTTCCCAGGCTGAGGGGAGGGGCTCTGGGCAGGGTATGTGGGGGGACAGGACAAGCAGGAGTGGTACAGGGAAGTGTTGAGCGATGGAGGCTCCCAGGCCTGCTGTGACCTAAGTCTCTCCTGTCAGTTTCAGCTCTGCCTCACTTGCCCCCTGAGCCCCCAGAGTTGGGGGAGAGTTTGGGCTATGTGGGGGTGACTCAGTCAAACCCATTTTGGTCCCTAGGGGGTAGATGTGGGAGATGAGCCCGACACCAGTCAGCCAGCCGCCCCCTCAGCCTCACTTCCTGTCTGTGACAGGTCCCTCAGTCAGAGGCAGAGGCTGCAGGCCTGTGTGTGTTCCCTCTTTAGCAGCTGCGAGGGAGTGAGGACTGGGCCTGGCTGGCCAACAGCGTCGATGGCCTCTCCTGTTTTGGAGCTCGGTGTGTCCAGTGGGTGATGACTGGCCCCGAAAGTAGATTTGGGAAATATTTGTTCAATGAACTCATACTTTATAGCACTGGATTGAAATGTGCTCACCCACTCACTCTTAGTGACTCACAGGCTTTCAGTTTAGATCCCTGGCTGTACCAGGTGCTGTGGGTATATGGAGACTGCATGGGATACGGCCTCTCGTCCTCCCGGACGGCAGGAGAGGTCCCTGTCCTCCTGTGGCCAGCATACTCAGTGGCGATGGCTCTGACGGGGTTGTAGACAGGAGGGACCAGCTGACCTGGGTGTTCATGTAGGTAGGCTGGCGGCCCCAGGCTCTGCCTGAACCCGGAGGAACATTTTCAATACCCCCATGGAATGGAGTGTGAGCTCAGAGACCGTACCCCAGATTTACCAAATTCAAGGCCTTGGACCCCCCTTGGGTTTGTCAGGGGCCTTGTGGTCCTGTGGGGGAGGTGTTGGGGCCACTTCCGTGTCTCTGGTTCATTCGAGTTTCTCCAGATGCGTCCCTCAGGGGCTGTGAACACTGGCAGAGAGAACTCAGGCTGCCTTGACTGCCTGCCCCCTGCCCTCCCTTGCCTAGAAGTCTCCTTCAAGGGGCCCAGTGGGGACAGGCTCAGAGTCTGGGAGCCATGCATTTCTCCAGCCTACCACCTGCCCTCTTGTCTCCCCGCTCCCTTGTGCCTCCTCATTTCCTCATCTGGGTCTCAGTTCACTCAGGCTGACGTTACCCTTTGTTCTTGTTCCCTGGCAGCCCCCAGGCCTGTTCCAGCAGCTGCTGTGAAGAAATGTGAATAAAACCGGAGTCTGGGGGGAAATCCAGACGATGATGCCCTCAGTGCCTCTTGCCACCCTGGCCTCATGAAGGCCTCACTTCCCCATCACGGAGCTCCTGTGGGACTTTGGGGGCAATTTTTAGGTCTTTAGCAAAGGGCCTCTGAGGGACTGGTTTTTCCTCGGGGCTGCCCTAGTGTTGTGGCCCTGTACAGTGAGGGATTTGGTAACCCCGGGGGCTCAGTGTGGCTGAAACTCCCAGGGTAGGCTTAGCTGTCCATGTCTAAGCCTCTATGCTGTCACAGCCAGGTCTGTGCCATTGTGAGGACAGATATCAGGACATCATCCATGCCTTTGGGACAAACCAGGGAGGGGACATTAAAATCAACAAGGTACTGTTAGTATAGTAGGTACTACTTTAACTGACCAAAGTGATTCTTGCATTCTGCCTTTGTGGGAAAGTAGGAGTTAGCAGGGCAAGGAAGGAGCCGAGGGAATCTACATACATGGTCAGAGGCCCCGAGGTAGGGAGCAGAGTGACCTATTAGGAAACTGCAAGTACTTCCACATGACTGAGTGGAGAGGAGAGGAGGTAGGACAGAAGGGCAGGGAGTGGGCAGGGCAGCTCAGAAAGGTCCCTGACAGCTCCATCTCTGAAGCCAGCAGCAGGGTGTGGAAGTGGGAGGCCTCCCACATGAAGCTGGCAAGGGCAGCCCCACCTTGTGGCTGAGGGCAGCTCACTCAGCTCTGCCTCTGTAAGGGCCAGCAGGCGGTGGCCCACATGAGCTGTATCTGAGCAGTGGGGTAGCCTGGGCTGGCTCCACAGGCTGGGTCCCTCCATGGGCTCAGGCCCCACTTTTGAGGGAGGCAGGTTGGAATAGAGGGGAGGGCGTGAATTTGGTGTAACCCAGCCCTGGGTCCTGATCCTGACTTTGCTGGGGTGCACCCAGGTCGGTGAGGCAGCGGGAGAGAGGCACGTCACACCACACTGTCCCGTTTCTGGAGCCTGTCCTCCAGCAATGCCCGCGTGCACATGGGATAGGCGAAGTGGGGTTATAGTCATTTCGCGTGGAAAAAGACTCGCAGGTTGGTATTAATCCTGTGGGGGAGGTGTCTGGGGCCGCTTCCGTGTCTTTAGCTTTCCTACAATTGCTTTCCTAACTCAAAAGAATTTCACTCACAACCGTAAACCTACTTTTGCCCACACCACTGTGTGACAGCAAGATTGGAAACACCCCGTATACCCATCGCGTGGAACTGGTTTCGACTGTGGTATGCCCCCATGATGGAATACACACAGCAGTAAAAGAAAAAGAAAAAAAAAGTGGAAGCTTTCTATGTATGAATGTCAAAACAGCTCTGGGATTTCTGTCAAGTCAAAAAGCAAGTACAAGCCTGGGAGAGAGGCGCGCCTGCCCAGGCTGGGTTGGAAGCAATGTGGCGTGCTCAGGACACAGGGGAGTTCAGTGCCTAGAAGGGAGGCACGGTGCCAGGCTAGTCAGATGAGACCAGCCTGGGAGGGCCCTTGGGCTCAGGGAAGAAACTGAAACCTACCAGGACCCAAGCCAGCGTTCAGCAGGTACTGATCTGCTTTACCTGGTCACAAGATCTGGCAATTGTAAAGCAATAACCACATGTATACTGTGCTTCATGTGCAGCTCCAAACTCCTTTAAGGAGGTGTTTTTTATTGTCCCGAGTTTATAAATCAGGGAATAGAGCATGGAGAGGTTAGGGAGCCGGCACAGTCACTTTCCAGCTGGTTAATGGCAGACCCAGAGAAAGAATCCAGCCAGTCTGGCTCGTGAGCCTGCACCTCAAGCATCTTGCGGCCCTGCCTCTCAGAGTAGTGGCTGAGGCAGCGTGTCCTGGAGGGGCCGGCTGCCGGAGAGGGAAGGTCAGGAGGCTGTTACAACAATCTGGACAAGAAGCAATGCGGGTCTGTGGGAAAGCAGTGACTTTTGGGATTAGGACTCAGGTGTACGTTTGAGAACTTCTAAGGAACTGGAAACAAGCCATGGAGGTGAGTGGGGTGTGGCTGCCGTGGAAGGAAAGGAACCCAAGATTTGTTCATCCATTCACTCGCATAACAAAACCACCGAATGCCTACTGGTTGCCAGCTGCTCTTCCAGGAGCTGGACTTGCCTCAGTAGCCAAGACAGACAAATATCTCTGCCCTACAGAAGCTTGTATTTTAGCTGATGGAGAAACCATAGATGTGTAAGTATGTCAATGATACAGTCTGTTAGAACTGAAGAAGCATAAAATAAAGATAAGGGTGATGAGTGGCCCTGGTCAAGGAGCTGCTGAGGGTTTCAGTCAGGTGGTCAGTGAAAGCCTCACCCAAAACGTGATTTTTGAGTGAAGAAAAGAGGTGAGGGGTGAGCCTTGCCATACCTGGGAAAGGGCATTAAGGCTGAGGAGCAAGGGCTGGAACATCCGAGATATCTGTTAGACGTCAAGTGGGGTGAAGACTGGGCAACGGGGAAGAAGTCAGGGTGGGGATGGTGGGTGCATGTTTGGGTGTCAGCAGCATAGAAGGTGTTTAATGCCTTGAGACCAAGTGAGATCAGTAGGCAGGGAGTGAAAGGTGGTGCTTAGTTTTAGACTTTGAGCCAAGGAAGGGGGAAGGAAAAGGGAGGGCAGGTTTCAGAGAGATGACAAGCTGTCAGTGCCCAAGGGTCGTCCTGGAGGTGGTGTCTAGCAGCAGGGGAAGAGCCAGGGGCTAATGCCTGGCAGAGGCAGGAGGAGGGAGGGGTGGGGTGGGAGAGGTGTGCCTTTTTGGGAGGAGGGGTGCCAGAAGAAAAGGCCCAAGGCAGAGCTGGCAGGAGGGGTGGGGGGGGAGGGGGGGCTCACTGAAGGTAGCACTGGGAGGAGAGGGGAAGCCACAAAAAGGACACTGGGAGGAGCAGGCAGGGAGGTGGGCGCAGATCTGGGTGCACGTCTGGGGGGCGGAGAGCTGCGTGTTTCGAGAGACTGAGTGGTCAGCAGTGAGGGACCGTGTAGAGGATGGCCAGCAAGTAACAGGCTGCCAGTGGGCTTGGTGGGGTGTTGGGACAGGATCTCAGAGGGTTAGGGGAAGTAGGTGGCGACAGAAGCAGTGAGGGGAGACAATGCTTTCAAGAGTTTCTGGGCAGAGGCTGGAGGTGGGGTGAGGGGCTCTGAGAGGGTTCCTGTAGGCTGCAAAGTCGAGAGCAGCAGGTCTGATGCCAAGACGCTGCAGCTGAAGGCAGAGGGAGGTGGGGACAGGGGAGTGTCTAGCTCCCCAGGGTCTCTCTGAGACAAGGGTGAGGCGACTTCCTCCTGCTCCACTCTGGCTCCTGAGCCCTGTGGAGAGAGGAGAGGAGACTAGGGGAGGGAAATGTCTGAGAGAAGGGACAGACAAAGGCACGAAGGTGGAAGGGGAGGGAAGTGTCAACATTTTTTACAGACAACATAATGGTTGTTTCCACTGTGGTAAGAAGACCTAAAGGAAACTAATGAAAGCAGGGACGTCTTGGAAAAAACTTTTCCAAATGCGAATGTGTAGGCCCCTCTCCCAGCCTGGCCCTGCCTTCAGGCCTATCCTTGCTGCCCTTGGAGGACCCCCAAACAGGAGGGCTTCCACGTGGGGCAACCCTGCAGACACCGAGGTGGGAGGAGGGCGGGCAGGGCCAGAGGGCAGCCTGGGTAGAGACAAGGAGGCAGGGAAGCTTTATGGTGTTTGGGGCAGAGCCTGAGGCTTGTCTGTGGGGACCAGCTAGCCGAACAGGCCAGGTGGATGCTCGTCAGCAGGCCTTGGCACCAAGAAGTCTTTGCTGATTGTGAGATGACCGGAAATGCCCACCACCTGGGAGGGCCTCTGGGCGGTGGGGGCGGGGCTCAGCACCCTCTCTAGGTCCCGGGCCGAAGGTCCCAGGAGAGAATGGACACCTGGAAGCAAGGCTGGGGCCAACTAGAACTCAGGGGACAGGTGTTGGATTTGCTAACTTGTGTCTGGTCACTTGTCCCTTTCTGGGGCATACCTGGACCTCACCTACTGAATCATCAGAACCGCCTGGGGGTGGATCTTCCCTTCTGGCCTACCACTTCTTCAGAATTCACCTATTTCCTCTTTTCTAAAAATAGGAACTTTGTTAACTTTAGGGAAGAGGAACTAACCTTTGCTGATAGCTCTCCCAGTACCTCCCCCTACACACACCGGGTGCGCTTGCAGGCACACACCCGGTGTGTGAGCAGGTACCAGGCCCCAGCTAGTTATTACTGCCTGGCATCGTCCTTATAAAGCCTCGTGGAGAGGACACTGTTGTTGTCCCCGCTTGGCAGGTAGAAGCCAAGGTCATGGGAGGTATAGTGACTCACTCGAGGATGCTTTACTTGGTGAGTCTATCAAGGTCACTGATGTGAGTTGAGTGTGGAAAGGCCTGCACACGGCGTTATCTGTCCCCTGCACACGGCCAGCCTGCCACCCCATGGGGCCGGGTCACTTCCTGCTCTTCCCTCCTATCTCTGGTGCTCGCTTAACAGATGCCGTGGGTCTCCTGCGGCTCTCACGGACAGAGGTCTGGCATGTCTGGTGACAGGCATTCCAGGCCTGAGAGAGGCTAGAAGGGGGGACTCGGCCATGGCCTGCTTCACAGAAACCCCTCAGTCCCTAGGGTACCCCACTCCCAGGGTTGGCGACCAGGGCAGGGGATTCCAGGCGTGGTGGCCTGACCTGGCTCCTTAGTTTTGACCCACCGAGTCCTGTTCTCCACTTGTACCCAGCCCCCCACAAACACCCCACACTTCTCTCTGACTGCTCAAGTGCAAAGAGCATGGGTTCTGGGCTCAGAGATGAGGTTTCAAAGCCATCTATGTGACCTTGGGCACATCCTGTAAACCTGCAAATCAAAGGCGCTAAAAATAACACCTTCCCCAGAAGGTTCCTGAGGACTGGGAGACTGATAGGAGGTGTTCACTAAGTATGTCCCTTCCCTCAGGCCCCAGCCTCCTTGGGCAGGCATGCCCCCTTGGCTCACAGATTTTGCCCCTGCTGTGGGAGAGGGTGAGGCCAGAGGGGGGCTAGAGCAGGTTCCTCTAGAGCAGGGGTGTCTAACTCATTGTTACTGGAGGCCACAACAGCCTTGCGGTTGCCTTCAAAGGACTGAATGTAATTTCAACTCCTTAATAGTTGAGGAGTAGTTACATTTATACAGCCCTAAAATTATTTCGGCCCTTTGAAGGCAACCGCGAAGCTAATGTGGCCCCGGTGAAAATGAGTTTGACACCCCTGCTCTAGAGTGTGGGCTCCTGGGCAAGGGTGCTGCTTCTTGCCTGGGCTCAAGTCCATGCTGCCTGGGGTATGTTGCCAGGACCTGGTTCCAGAGTGTCGCTGCTTTGCTTGCACCCTGGCTCTTGAGCCCCACTGGACTGTGGTGATGCAGGCCACATGCCTTGCTGAGCGCTCAGTCTATGGGGCTGCCCCGCTCTCCTCTTGACACCAGGGCTTCTCTCCTGCACTAGCAGACCCCTTCCTAACCAGGGTGACTCCCTTGTATCACACAGGCATGGGGAGGCACAGTACCTGCTACCATCTGACCCCCGCCTCTCTGGAGCCCTGACATTACCCTGCCTAGTTTGGCTCTGGGGACTGCTCAGCATTAGACCCCGAGGGCAGCGGGCAGCCCTCCCTAGCTTTGCCGGGAAAGTGGGGCACCAGCTCTACTTTAGCCAATGTTCTTGCTCACTCAGCTGAAAAGCCAGAGCTTCCTAACCCGCAGGCTCCCAACCCTCACTGGGAGCCAGCAGCCCCTTCCTTGGTGCTCTGTGACACAGTCCCAAGGCAGGGCTGCCGCACTTGTCCTGCTGCTGGGTGCCTGCCTCATGGGGCATGTCTGCCACAAGACTGTTCGTGTCTATAGGCCTTCCCCCCATCAGTGCCGATGGCCCTTCCTGGGCTCCCTCCTTACACCCTTGAGGGGGTTGGGGGAGGGCAGGGGGAGGTGGGGATGGTGAATAGACTCTGTTATCAGGGTGGACAGGAAATTCAGAGGCCTTTTCCCTTGGGAGAGGAGGGCCCTAGGCCCTGCGGAGGGGGTGACAGGGGTTTCCCGGGAAGGCTTAAGCATGCCCCAGCTTGGCCATGAGGAGCCTGTGCCACTGTTTGATCAGTTACATTGAACACTGGACACTGGACTGGACACTGAGGGGCAGCCTGTGCCATGCCTCCTTCCTCAGCCACATAGCTGTGGTGCTGCCTCAGGACTGACTCCTGCGGATGTGGTACCTTCTAGCTCTCTGTTCACTGCGGGCCTCATTCTCCTGGCTATGTCCCAGTGCGGCCGCTGTCCTGCAGCCAACGTGGCTCCCATGGGGTGGGGGCTCCCTGCTGGTAAAGACCAGGTCTGGGCCCAGTGGGGGGTGCCCACCTCATCTTGCCAGGGCAGCTGGGGGCCACCCTGGGTGGCCTTTCCTCCTCCTCCAATGGATGGACCTCATCTCCCTCCTGGCAACAGCCCCCTTGCCCCCCAGCTGGCCTGACAGGGACCAGTAGCCCAACCTGTCAGTCTGTGAAGAGACTCCAGGATGGGGGCAGTTAACACCCTGGGGGGCTCATTCAGGCCAAACCTGTGGTGGACCACGCACGTGCCCAGGTTCCCCTGCAGGCCAGCTTACCTGGCTGAGACCTGACGGGGGCCAAGGGCACTCTGATCTGAGAGGTAGTCACTGAGCCCTCCTATCCTCCACACCTTTGCACCTGAGGCGCTTGCCGTCAATGCTGTCCTCCTTTCTCCCTGCCCTCGAGACCTGCCCAACCCCCTTCCTGCAAAGCTCTCCCGACTACTGAGCTCCCCTGCTGGAGTTCAGGTGAAAAATCTAGCACAGGTCTTTCTTTGTTCTGAAAGTTGAGACTCCTGGGAACTGGCCTAGGCACCCTCCTCAGCAGGTGCGGGGCCTGGGGAATGAGCACAGGCTGTCACTGGGTGCTCCGGCCTGCAGACCTGCGTCTCAGCTGTGTCACAGCCCGGCCTGCCCCGTTTCCAGCACAGGCAGCCAGCTGCGTCCTGATGGGAAGCACCTCCTGCCTCTGGGAAGGGCTCAGGAAACAATCGAGGATGTGACCTCATGTTCGAGTCTATCCAGCCCTGTCAGTGCCGGATATCCCAGGAGCTTCTGCAGGAGAGGGAGTAGGGGCAGGAGATGGGGCTGCAGGACTGAGGCTGGAACTGTTCCAAGCCACTCCTGGGGTGACTCCACTTTAACTGGGGTCCCAAGTTGAGGAGCTGCCAAGTTACACAGCTAGGCTGCCATGCCTCCTTGCCCAGAACTATCCGTATGCTGGAGACTTCCAGGAAAGAACACCAGTGTGTATCAGGCCGCAGGGCTGCTCGAGGCACAGGGGCTGCCAGGAGCCTGCAGGGGCTGGAGGCTGACTTCATCTGGATGGGGGGGCGGGGGTAGTAGGGGACCCTCTGAGGTGAGCAGGCTACCTGAGAGGCTCCAAGCCAGAGCCTGGGGAAGGGAGCCTCTGGGACACTTGTCTCTCTGGAGCAGGCCTGAGATTGGCTGGTGGGATGGGCTAGAAGACTAGTCACTTCCTCTTTCTGGACCACACCTTTCGAATAAGATTACCTCTTACTTCACTGGCTGTTGCAGGATCAAATAAGGTGATGAAGAGACTAAAAAGCATAAAGGTGGTATTATTAGCAGGAGTGTTATTTGACTTGCTAATTAGCTTCCTAAAAATAGCTACGTTTATTATAGCACAGGGAGAATCCTAAACTGGAGCCAGCCGCCTGGATTCTTGGTGGGCGCAGTGGCAGTCTTGCTTGTGAATTTGAGCCAGGCCCTGACCCTCTCTGGTCACCTGGTTTCAGATGGAGCCTGGACAGTCCCCGCGGGCCAAGGCAGCCGATGCAAACTCAAGAAGGATGACTCCTTCCATTTGGGGCTGGTTTCTGAAGGACTGGCTTCATCTGAGTCACTGGGTCAGAGCAATTGGTATCACTGAGTTTATCATCAGCACCTGTGAGGGAACCTGAAGGGTTCTTGAGTTTCTGGGAAGCACCCTGCTCAGTCCCCACCACAAAGTCATTAGCAGGCTCCAGGGATTGCAGACAAGAGGTATCGTAGAGAGGAGTGGGGCCTGGTGGGCGAGGTTAGTGATGGGAGGAGAGGGGCTGCAGACTCACCTGTGAGACATCCAGCTGGCTGGGGAATCCATTCGCTCAATGCATGTTTACTGAGCACCGACCATGTGCCAGGAACTGTGCTGTGGAGGCAATGGAGGCAAATTAGACCCGGTTCTGATTTAGTGGGGGAGGCAGACACTCATTACCAAGCACATAACTAAACCTCACCATGTACTCAACTCTGACAAGAGCTACAGAGAGGCATGTTTGGTGCCGGGGGCACATCTACTGGGTGATTTGACTTAGTTGAAACCTCAGGGAAGGTTCCCTGGAGGAGGTGATGTGGGTTGGAACCTGAAGGGTGAGTAGGCAATGCAGGAGGTGGAAGGGAAATTCCAAGCAGAGGGAGCAGAGGAGCAGAGGTGGTGTGGGCAGGTGGGTAGAAGGGCTGAGGAAGGGAGGGCTGGGGAGGCCCAAGTGCAGAGGGGAGAGCCTGGAGGCCTGCTTTCCCTTCCGTGTGACAGGAGGGGTGGGGGGACTCGCCCTTTCCCTCTCCCCAGAAGGGAAAGAAGATTGTGACCGTAAGATCGAGAGCAGTAAAACGTGGCCAGACTCAGATGTCAGCGTCAGAGAGCAGGAGGGGTCACTGTGACTCACGGAACTTCGGACCTGGAAGTGCCACCTGGGAGGACAAAGGCTGCCGGACGTGGCGTCCCTCCCTCCCCGTCTGGTTTCATTGCTTGCTTGGGGGAAATGTTCCCTCTGTCAGTGCCTGTGAGTCACCCGCCCCTCCGGGGAGGGCAAGCCTGGGACCTGCCAGGATGCTGCCCTGACCCCACGTGTCTCCACCTCCATTTTCTTGGTTCCTGTCCCCAGGCTGCCTGGTGTGACTCTCCAGCCGCCTGCCTTGCTCTCTGGGAGGGGGTGAGCTTGTGGGAACTGAAAGGTAACTGGGACAACGGTCCTTACCGGGGGCTGTCCCTCAGACAGTGCTGTGACTTCGGTCATGTACTGACATCTACGGGAACCTAGGGGCCCCTGGGAGACCATCCGGTTTGATCCCCTTGGGACACAGCCAGGTTGGGTGCTGAGGACAAGGGAGGGAGGGTATGACTTACCCCAGCGGAGCACAGCATCCCTGCACGAGAGCCCACAACCTCCCGGGCATTTTAAATCTCAGGGGAGGCAGGGCTGTGGGTGTTGCCTTGCCCTCTGGCCCGAGAAGTTGGACCTCTGGGGGGTAGAAGGGAGGCCCCGGGAAACAGCGAGCTTCTCCCCTCTCATCTAAGGGAGGCCTCGGACAGCAGCAGAGACACCCAGCCCCTCTCTCACAGCAGCTTGACCATATTCCTCACCCCCGAGGGTGGGATGTTGATAAAAGGACAATCCTGGAATCCATCAGGGACACTCAGGGTGGAGACCTCAGAAATTCCAACTTAGGTCTAGCCATCTCTGCAAGACAGCTTTCAGGGCAAGGCTGTGGCCTAGGATGCATCCTCCTTCCCAGGAAGCGAGGCTAGATGGAGCCGGGTGCATTTCCAAATTGTTCTTTAAGCTGGTGGGCATGTAAAGTGGGGTTAGAAGCTTATTTCCTCCAGGGCTCAGGTGACAGGGCCCAGGAGATGTGGTGTTCGGCTCTGCGTGCTCCTCCAACCCCCGGAAACCCTCTTCTGACCCTCCCACCCCAGCCTCCCGTGTCCCCAGCCCTCACTCCTGCCCTGGGGCCTTGCTTGGACCATAGGGAGGCCTTAAGGGTGGGAGCTTTCACTCCTGGGGCAGCACTGCTCCCTGCTGGCCACCCAGAGAAGCCTGGGGCACTAGAAGTCTCATCCTCTCCCTGCCAGTCAATCTATTGTGAGCTGCTGGGGCCCCAGAGGGCTGGGTCCTTGTCTCCCCAAGGCCAGGCTGGGTTCTCCCTGGGACCCAGCCTTAGCCTAGGCTTCCTCCCCTTGAGCCCCAGCCTAGGAATAGGTCCCAGCTTGGCATCTAGCAGGCTGAGCAACCTTGGGCAAATTTCTGTTGCTGCCAGGGCATCAGATTCCCTATCTGTACAATAAGCAGGGGGACTTGGGGAGGCTTCCTCCAACCTTAGTTTCCCCCCCTCTCAGCCCGCCTCTCAGTTCTCCCGACCCCTCTCCGCCTCTCTCCGTGTCTGGCAGGCCTCGGTTCTGGGAGTCCTCACTAGAAGCATGCGCGCACCTCCCCCCACCCCTCTGTGGCCCCTCTCCTGCCCACAAGCTCTCCACACTTGGCCTCCATTCTGGGCCCATCTGGCTCTGCTGGCTTAAGGAGCAACCCTTCATCCTTCTTCCCACCCAGGCACTAACCATTCTGAGCAGACTCCTGATGGGCACCTAATGGGACCATGGCATTCAGTTTGCTTATAGTAAAATAGATAATGACACCCAGCTCCCAGTGCTGTTACAGGATTACACAAGCCAACACTATGTTTGCAAAAGAGCTTTGTGGGTGGTGGGCCTGTGTCAGAAGAGGGGCAGTGATTCCGGAAGGATGCTGTGGTTGGTCCCTGAGGCCACTCTTCCTCAGACCCCTGCCCGAAGGGTCTTACCAGCATGAGCGGCACTAGCTGGCTGCAAGTCTTCCCCATCCCCCCCAAAGCTGGAGCTCAGGTCAGACCCTTGGTTGCCCAGTTGTGCTCCCCTGTGGTGAGAGAGGACTGCAGTCTGGCGAGAGGAGAAGACAGCTCCATTACTTCTGGGTACTAAAGTGGACGCGGGGGCTGGTGGGGGGCTGGAGCAAGACCTCCCGGCATCCTGGGGGCAGGGCAGGCTCTCATCTTCTGCAGAAGGCAGGATGTCCCCTGGGCACCATCTAGGGCACAAAATTGATCAGAGCGAGTTCATGAGCTTTAGTAGAACACCGAAGGTCTTAGGGACCCGGACCCTGTGCCTCTTTCTGTCTCATTTTATCCCCTATTGACCGCTCCGAACTTCTCAGCAGCCCTACCATTCGCAGGCAGCCCTAGGACACAGGTGCCGTGTGGAGGAAACGAAGCACAGAGGCGACAGTGGCCTGCGAGCCTGGCTGTGAGTGGAGGGGCTGGGAATGGACTCAGCTGGTCCCAGGCACCCGATCCCAAGGCTCTGCTGCCTTCCAGACTCAGGTGGGGAGATGAGCTAGGGGGCTCTGCATGGTTCTAGGTGACAGAAGCTGGTAGCCTGAGTGGGGCAAGGCTGAGGGCCTGAGGAGAGAGAGATGACGTTTGGGAGAAGGCAGTGCTGGAGTGTGAGGCTTTGAAGACTGGAGATGAGGGTCAGGGCTGAGGAAGCTGGTGAGGCTGGGTTTGGGTACCCTGGGGGGTGGGGGGTGCAGGCCTGAGGGCTACTAAGAGGCAATGGGCCTGGCTCAAAGGTGGAGCCACCTGGGAGTCAGGAGCCCAGTGCTGTGGGATGTGATGTGGGCACCGGGAGTACGGGGAGAAGTCCCAGGGAGCTACAAATTGGGAGCCTCTCAGACACGGTTGGCACCAAGGAACCAGACAATACTCAGGGTCCAGGCACCTGCCTGGGAGAGGAGCAGCGAGTATCGGGTCCGTCAGTGCTCCTAGGACAGAGGAAAGAGTAGTTCTAAGAGCCTGCAGGTAGCAATTACAGAGGGATGTTTCTCGTGGTTTAGGAAGAGGCTTCTCACAAATGCAGCCCCCAAATGTAACAGGCTTCTTCTTGGGGTCCAGAGCTTCCTGTCCCAGGAAACGTGTGAGACAGGGCTGGATAGCCCCTCTGCAGGGCGGGGGCCGTTGCTGAGGGGAGTTTGCAGTGGGTGGTGGTAGATATGAGGAGAATCTGCACACAGCAAGGGTTCTGGGGGTGGGGGGGGGTGGTCTTGCGTCCTAAACAGTGAACAGCCCCTTTCCTTGGCTGTGAAGCCCTGACTGTGCTGATTGGCCCAGCACTGCTGCTATGGGAATGAAGGCCTCCTGCCTCCCCAGGGAGAGCCCTTAGCCCTCCCCAGGTCTCAAGCCCCTCTTCTTGGGGCACTTCCCCTGCTTCCCTTCACCCTGTGCCCACTCCAGGGCAGACCTCTAACCAGGGTCTCCTGCCTGGCTGGCAGCAAGGGGGCCACCGAGGGAGGTCCAACAGCAGCCACCAGCCAGCCGCTCCCCCCCACCCCCAGTGACCCCGACATTCTGGTTGGCCTGGGGGCTGTTACTGACCGTCTGGCTCTGGGGAGGGGCTGCTGAGATGTTTCCTTAAACATGGAATTGGAATTGCTCAGCTTGGTAATTAGGAGGCAGCACACTACTCTATAAATGACTGTAATTACAGCTACCTTTTCAGCCGCCAAACCAGGAGTTTGGGGGATCACTTGGGATCTGGATGGAAAGGGAGAGGGGAGAGAGGTGAAGGCTTGGTTGTGGAGGGCCAGGCCTCCACCACGGGCTTTGTGTGCTCACAGGCCCTGCAGATGCCTGGCAGCTCTAGAACACTAGCAGCCTCGGATACCATGTGCTCAGTGCCCCATGTGCTCAGAAACCTGGAGAAGTTTCACCTTTGTCACCTCAAGAGACAGAGGTGTCAGGGGCAGGACCTGCACTGGAACCCAGCCTTCCCCTCAGCCAGACTGAGTCTCTCATGTTTGATTATTGGCCCATGCCAAGTGCTTTCTCCTCTCCCGGTCTTTCCTCAAGGTTCCCTTCAGCCTGGCACATTCTCCGCTTGGTGCCTGGGGCACCCTTACTCTTGCCTCAGTCTCCGGTGACACCATCTCCTCCAGGAAGCCTTCCCTGAATATTTGTGTAGGGTCAGGGCTTCCTCGGGCTCTCCGTGGCCCCAGTGTGTTCCTCTGTGTGCCACCAATGACCCTGCTCTGAAAAGGCCTGTCTTCCTTAGAAAGTACAGTCTTGAGGTTATGGATCACATTCAGTGATGAGTGTGGGGCTAGAGCTGACTTGTTCTGGCAGGTGAGAGCTATGATTAAATTTGCAGAAATTCTGTGAACTGGTTGTTATATGCAGCCATTGTTAACAATTAAATTACATACATTTTACAATTAAATACATTATTAAAAAGAGAAATGCACATTAAAGTCTCCTCACTTCCTGCCCTGGCTGGTGTGGCTCGGTGGATTGAGCACTGGCCTCTGAACCAAAGGGTCACTGATTCAATTCCCAGTCAGGGCACATATTTGGGTTGCAGCCCAGGTCCCCAGTAGGGGGCATGTGAGAGGCAACCAACACATTGATGTTTCTCTCCCTCTGTCCCTTCTTTCCCTTCTCTCTAAAAATAAAATTCTAAACAAACAAACAAACAAACAAACAAACAAATACCAACCCTCATCACTTCCTAATCATTTTACTGTCATCTATCTTCATAAGATTATTTATGTCTATTGGGTCTGATGGTGGAGGCACTAGATAATGGTGCGAACTAACTCAGTGTTAAGAGACACTGCATTGGCAGCTTGCTACTCACCACGGTAGAAATACTGACACTTCGGAAGTGGGAAAATGCCATAGATCAGGGCTCTTCACTGCATCCCAGAAAGCTGATTGTTAAACATCTTTCAGTTTACCACCGAATTCACTGCTGCCTTTGACCCTTACAGCCGAGCTTGGCACATGGCAGTGCTCAGTGAAGGGCTGCTGGCCAGGAGAGAAAGAACACAGGCATTGCCTTGGGCTGTGAGGTTACTGGCTTCCAACATCTGCCCCCAGTACTGGCTCCAGCCCTGCCCACTCCTCCCAGTTCTCACGGGGCACAGGAAAGACTGATGACCTCATGGGGCCTGTGTCTATGGGCACTGGGGTGGAGGGGAGTCATCTTTCCCAGGCCGGGGCTGAGGGCCTCCAGAGAGCTGGCAGGTGTGGGCGGCCTTAGCAAGGTGAACAGAGAGCTGGGCATGGAGGAGATCCTGTTGCTTTCACCCCATGGTGTTGGGGACTGCCCTGCCTGGTCTCAGGAAGCTGTAACCACCCATAACGAAGACTGAGTGAGAGACCTCCGGACCAGGAGCCACTAAGGAGACAAAACTTATTTCCCTGGCATGAATGCTGCCTGTTCTGTGCCTGACCTCCTAAGCTTGATCAGTTAGCCAATGACGGGTAATATTTCCCAAGGAGGGAATCACTTAAGACAGGCATGATCATGAGGAGGCTTCTAGGAAGAGACTCGGGGCTGTGGAAATGAAGGGGTGATGGACATCAACTCCTGCCCCCTGGGCTTTGTCAAAGCCTGAGTCCTTGTTCTTAGATGTGAGAAATCCAAGTCTCCTGGCTGCCTTTGTCTTCTCTGTTAACTCAGGCCTGCAGAAATAGCAGGGGCGGTGCAGCCCAGACCAGAAACAGTGGACCCCCGGGGTAATCAGGCCTGGGACATAGAATATGCAAGATCCTGTGAGATCTGTTTGCTGGAGGATGTTGTTAGATTAGAATATGAAGGCACAGACAGGAAACCAAAACTAGCCCTTTAAGCAATATGTTAAAACTCCAAACTCTGCCCAGAATCACAGTGGCGGTTCTGTCTACACCTTTGTAAGTCACCTACTTCTTTTGATCTTTTCTGCTAGACTGTGAATCCACAAACCAAGTCTGTATTCTCAATAAAAATCTGCTTGGGAATGGATACGGGGCATTCCCCACTAGAGAGAGTGGTTGTTCTGTTCCTACTTCCCCTCCCCACAGGACCTGGTTGTCTCTGTGTATGTTTTTCTCGTGTGTTGATGAACCATCCGCAGTGTTCCGTGCTCACTGCAGGCCGGTGAGTGTGCATCACCATGGCATTATGCCACCTTCCTGCACTCTGAGGGGCAGCAGAAAGGCTGTTCAGCTGGGCCGACCTCAGAAAGGGCACCTAAAGTGCCCCCTCCCTTAGAACTCTGGGTAAGAATTGGTCCTTCCAGGCTCTTTCTTAAAAGTTGTACCCCCTCTTTTAAAAACAGAGTTAATTAATTAATTAGTTAATTTATAGAGAGAAGGGAAGGGAGGGAGAAAGAGAAGAAGAGAAACATTGGTCAGTTGCCTCTCACACGTACCCAACCAGGGACCTGGCTTGCAACCCAAACATGTGCCCTGACTGGGAATTGAACCAGCGACTTTTCACTCTGTGGGCTGATACTTATCCAACTGTACCCCCTCTTTTTGGGTAGCAGGCCCCGTAAAATCCAAGAAGGTCAGGGATAAGGAAGAGAGTGAGGCTGAGCACTTCCTACGCAATACTTCATTTAACAGTTATCACACACAAGGCCACCTCACTCCACCCCATTCTACAGAGGGCCACACATTCCTATCTGAGGTTTGTTACCAGCTGCGTGACCTTTAGGCAAGTTACTCAACCTATTTCCTCAACTGTAGAATGGGGTTAATACAATTATATCTACCTCATAGGGTTGGTGGGAGGATCAAATGAGGTGATCTTTTATAAAGCACTTACAAGGATTCCGGCCTAGAGTAACCATTCAATAAATGTGAACTATTATTGGTATTGTTTTTATTATGCTCCTCACACCCTCTGGTGTGGGTAGTAATTAACCAAGTCTCTTCTTGCAGCTCCATCTCTCTGCTGCCCTCTAGTGGACTCTGACTGCACTGTCCTGAGGACACAGGTTTACTTGGTGTGTCCAGAGAGGTAATTTCTTCCTTTAGATTTCAAAAGAAGTTTGCCATTTAAGGAAACCTTATGGTTGATTCTTGAATAGAGCCAAACAACTAATTTATTTCCTTTCTTACCAAATGAAACTCACCTGTGGTTGCACATTTGCATATTGGTTTTCTTGAAGCAACACCTCACTACAATGGAAAGGCAACAAGGAGGAGATTTTTCTTCTTGACATTCACGGTAATTGACCATTTTTAGATTTTACGGGGGTCATGACCTTTAGCCCCAACACATTTCTGTAAACCTCCTTAGCCCACTGTTTAAGTCAGACATTGCTCACTCACATCTCCAGTGTGGGGATAATTTATCAGTTTCCTCAAATTCTGTCTCTGTCTCTCCAGGTTTGTCCTACAGTTTGGTGTGAAAACTGGTAACAACAGTGACTGTTTCTGTTTAACTCCCAGCTCTCTCTGGTACCTATCCCAGTGTCTGGCACACAGCAGGTGCTAGGTACATGTCTGTGGAATGAATACTGCACTCACAGCATCCAGGTGGCCATGTGGCTCCCTAAACCTGCCCTTCCCCTCTCCAGACCTATTAGAAGTGGAAGAGCAACCCCCGAAGGGTGAGGGGAATCTACTGAGGCAATCCTGGTTGGGGGCTTCATGCTGAGCACTGGCTGTGCAAAGGTAAGTGTAATGTAAGGGTGGACTCTGGAAGACATTTTTATAAAAGGAAAGGTGAAGGTAGAGGTGGTTAAGGCTGCTGGTGAGAGAGGGTGGGCAGGATTGCAGAGGTCTGACACCTACCCGGTTCCTCTGGTCAATGAGAGCACAGGGCAAGGCAAGCCCGAGTTCTGGATTCAGGGCTGGGGAAACGGAGAGAGTCTGTGCTCAGGGACAACAGGGCTGATGCTTACCCCAGAAGCAGGATCAGCTCTGTAGCTTAGGCCCTGGACTGCAAGGAAGGTACTTCAACTGCGCTGAGTCTGTGTGTATTTTCCTGGCGTTCAGTTTCCAGGTTTTAGGGCTCTCAGCTCCGCCCTTGGTCCCGCCCCCTCATCCCCAGCCAATCCGAGAACCCCAGCAACCCCCAAGTCCACCCTCCACTTACTGCCCCGCAGTAAGGAAGCCTTTCCACCACAGTCACCTTCGCTGGTTCTCTCAAGTCCGGACTTCCATCTCGCCCCGCCCCTGCAGATATTGGAGGGGACAGCAGATCCGGCGCTGGGGGTCAAGTGTGTACCCCGGCAGTGCCCGCTCTGGGGGTCACCCTCTCCGGAGACAGCACCTTCTTCACGTGCTCATTCCCCAGTGGCAGGGTCTGGGTCCCCCGAGTGACTCCGGCTCTAGTCTCAGCCCTGTCCTGGCACCTCTTCACCCCCTCGCAGGGTCTCAGGCTCCTCACCTGATAAATGGGAGTTCTCGGTCGGCAGGGGGGTCCGCTCTGGGGCCATTAACCTTTACTGCTAGGACAGACAGGAAAGAATTTGTAAGTCAAATAAAGCCATCCTGAGCTAGGTCTGGGGCTGTCTGTCTCATACCCTTCCCAGGCCCCTTGGTAGGACCCAGATTCAGCCCCTCTCCTCCCAGCCCGCTGCCTCCCGAACCCGCCGCCCTCTTAAACTCAGGCGTCTGGGGTTGGGGATTGGGGTGGGGGTGGGGGGGAGTTACGAAGGTGGAGAATGGGCCCAGCCAGATGCTGTGGTTGTGGGCTTTGGCTCCACCTAGTGGCACAGGCGCTGGCTGAGGTTCTGGGCAAGTAGCCTGGATGCAGTGAGTACCTGGATACCTCAGAGATCATAGCAAGGACGAAGTGGCAGGTGGCGTTTCTCTGCCTCTGGTTCCAGGGAGGATGGGGGAGTGTGTGTGTATTGGGGCAATTGTTACCAAGCACAGATGCCTCTTCAGACCCCTCTGCCTTTGCCTTCCAGAAGGCTGGGGGTAACATCGTATGTCCTGCCAGCCCACGCCACCCCCACCCCTGGGCTGGCACTGACACCCAGCTGTGGCTGCTGCTGCTGTCTCAGAGCCACCACCATCCTGGGAGATCCTGCTTCCCTTCCCCCAAGCACTGTCACACAAACCAGCTCTCTATCTGCCTTTCTGCTGTCCTCATTCCAGTTCCTTTTCTGCTATTTGCTCCTCCCACCCCTTCCTTCTCTCCTTTTTGCACCACTGCACCCTCTGTGTGGCTGTGTCAGCATTTCCACACTCTTCTCATGGGGCACTGCCCTTGTGCCACAGAGAAGCCTCTCACAGCCCTCCAGCCCCAAGGTCTGCCTGCTTGGAACACAGAGGCCATAGTCCCCAAATAGTTTCAGGCAGTGGCTCTGTGGGTGACCAGTCCCTTACTCACCTCCCCTAGGAGGGAAGAAGTGCCCATGCCAACCTCCAAAGCTGGGTTGTCTCAGCCTCTGTGTTTTTAGCAGCTCTGACTGAGGTGGAACAGTAAGAAGCTGGGGAAATTCCTTGGCAAATTGAATAGGGAAACTGAGACAGACAGTTGAACACAATGGCTGAGCAGTTTACAGCCAGACACAGAAGGTCATCTCCTTAGGGATGACATCTAGGCCTCAGTTGAGTTTCAGCTCCAGGCCCAGAAAAGCAGCAAAACCAGGTGGGTGACCCCAGGAACAGCTGCAGTGACTAATGACCACTGTGCTGGTGCTGATCCATCAGTGGAAACAACCACCCTGAAGGGCACATCTGGAGAAGCTGATGCATATTCTATGGAGACCTGCCCTAAACTCCCAGCATTTAAAGACTCTCAAAACAAAGGACCCAGCATGTGTTCTTCCTCCCAGGAGCATGCCCAGGCCTTTTCCTTTGCCCTCTTTTTCTCCCACAGGTATGCATTTCCTAAACTATAAGGGACCCTGCAAGACTTGCAACCAGGGGATCAATGGATAGTAACAGCTTATCCCAAGCTAACCCTCAAACCTGTCCCTAAAGCCCCCTTTTCTCTGACTTCCCAGTGAGTCAACAGCCTGCCTCGGTCATTTCTTTCTTGCACCACTTACAGGGAGCCAAGGGAGACCCACCTAGTGTCTCCTGTTGCTTCTCTCTTAGTCCCGCCCATGTTCCACTGTCCTTAGCTTTAATAAATGTAGCCTTAGAATCACCTGAATCTTCCCTAAAGCAGCCAGAGGTGACCTCTGAAAATAGTTCACTATTCACTTGACCCAGAAAACCCCACAAAATCATACAAATCAAGAGGTTTATATCTTTGTGTTCACTTCAAGAACTCATGAAACTGCCCAGGCCATCAAGGGTATGCACATTTGAAAAGCCACCAAGTATGTGAAGAATTCCAGAAGCAATGTGTGCCTTTCCGTCATTACAACAGTGGAGTTGGTAGGTGTGCCCAGGCTGAACAGTGGGGCTGGACACAGGGTCGGTGACCCAAAAAAGAGTGCTGGATTTTTGCTGCACATGCTTAAAAGTGCAGTTAATGCTGAGCTTAAGGGTTTAGATGTAGATTCTCTGGTCATTGAGCACATCCAGGTGAACAAGGCTCCCAAGATGCAGCGCAGAACTGACAGAGCTTGTGGGCATGTTAACCCACACATGAGCCCTCCTTGCCACACTGAGATGATTCTGCTGAAAAAGAGCAGGTTGTTCCTGAACCAGGAGAGGATGTTGCACAGAAGAAAAAGATATCCCAGAAGAAACCGAAGAAACAACGCCTTATGGCCTGGGAGTAAATTCAGCATAAAATAAATATTAATAAAAGTTTTAAAGAATCACCTGGGCTCACGTTGTGAAATCTCTTCTGCACAAAGTCAATAACCCACACATTATGGGCAGGTCCAAGGTAGAACCCTCAGGGCTAGGTCCCCTTTCTGGTAACACAGCCACTGGTTGCAGTAAGGAAACCCCTCTCACATGACATGACATTGCTTCCATCCCTGCTTCTAACTGGTCCTGCTTGTTATAGGTGCAAAGTTCCTGTGCCTTATGTTTCCAAAAAAAAAAAAAAGGCGAATATTCAATACGTTAGAGTTTGGGATTAGGAAAAGTTTGTTGAGAAGGCCCAACTGGAGAAGATGGGGGTGCCTTAAAGCTCCCACAAATCCATCTTAAAAGAGATTCTAAAATGTAGGTATCTTTTATTGTCAAGGGAAGGGAGGAGGGGCAAGGCAAAAGGTAGGTGAGGGCCATAGACAGACAGCAAGACAGCTAGGTGTCGAAAGGGGTCCAAGGAAGAACTCGAAATTTCTAATCCCTTTAGTTCCGGGTCTGTTGATCCCCAGGTGATCTGAGTCCAGTTCTGGAGAGACTCCAGTATGTTTTGGGAAAAACAGTAATTACTCTGTGCATATTTTGAGGCTTCTCAAGCCTGAAGTATAATTCCTCTAGTTAATTAGTGTATCTGTAGTACTGCAGGCAGTTAGACAGATGAGAGCAGAGCAAGGATGATGGGCCAGGTACCGAGGGTCACCAGGGTGGAAAGACCCAGGTTCAAAGTGGGAAAGCAAGGACCTTGCCCCAGGTAACCTCTCCTCCCCCAGCATATCCCTGGTCCTGCAGTTTGGGCCCACTGACCTGTCATATCACTGGTCATAAAATTTAGACTCCCTGGCTTTTTCCTCCCTAAAGATAACATTTAGGCCTTGATAGCTCCAGGCCCAGAAAAGCAGCAAAACCAGCCAAGACATTATCTCTAAAAATGGCATCACAACTGCCTCAGGACCAGCTGCATTGATTCAAGACCTCCTGCCCTGGTGCCAACCAATCAGTGGAAACCAGGACCCTGACTGAGCCCACCTGGAAAGCTGATGAATATTCTAGCAAGATCCTCCTGAGACCTCCCCTAAGATTCACACCTGCAAGGGAGAGGTAAAACCCTTGGGATGAAGGACAGAGCTCATGGTCTCCCTCCCCCTCTCCCTCCACCTCTTCCCCCACATGCACGCATCTCTTAAACTCTAAGAGACCCCATGGACTTGCAATTAGGGGAGCAATGGGCAGTGGCGGCTCCTCCAGGGCCACCTCCCTGAACCTGTCCCCAAGGCCCCCTTTTTCTCTAACTTCCCAGTGAGCTCCAGCAGCCCAGCCTGGGCTTTCCTGTTGCTTCTTTTACCTGAGTGCACTTTTACTGCAGCCAATGAATTCTTGCTTGCTTTTCTATGTCTCTTGACTGAAATCTTTCCTTCAAGAAGACAAGAACTGAAGCCTGGTTGTTGCTGGTAACAATAGCAGGACCATTAGCTCCTGAAGGCATCAGAAAGAGCAAGTATTTAATTCTGTTACACACAGTCTTCCTCATCTGGAGCTAGACTCTGCCTGCAAAATCCAGTTGAGGCGCTGTTTTTCCTCAGTGTTTAGTGTGTGAGTGTGCATGTGTGTGTGTACTGGGCTGTGTGGTTTGTAAGGAGAATAGGGAAGACCTATTGACCCAGGTTACTTATGTGCTGCCCACTGGAGGGGTCACTGGCCCAGGCTCTCATGGGGACCCACTTGAAAATTTGACAGCTGAAAAAAAATTACTGGCTCTAAAATATAAACACTGCAAAATTAAAAATAATAAATTCTTAATCAAATGTCCAATTGTAACTTTATATCAACCTCATTGTTAAATTTAATATTGATAAAAATTTCATTGCATTGGAAAAAATGTGTGGGCTAGGTTTTTCTCATTTTAGAAAAATTTCACATTGTAATTTAAATCAATTAGCCAAATCACTTGGTTACCAGAAAGGGACAGGGCCAGAATGGTTCTGTCCCTGGAGGGCTTGTAGTGAGTGTGTGGATTCTTTTTTTTTTAATTTTAATTTTAAAGATTTTATTTATTTGTTTTTAGAGAGGGGGAGGGAGGGAGAAAAGGAGACATCCACACGTGATGTTGACCAGGAGTTGAACTGACAACCCTTTGCTTTGTGGGGTGACACCCAGACCACCGGGCCACACCAGCCAGGGCTAGTGTGTAAGTTCTTGCCTTCACACAGGAAAGATTTCACAGCACAAGTCCGGGTGATTCTGAGAGTATGTTTATTAAAGCTGGGGGCAGCAAAACCAGGAAGGG